CCACGTATACATATACACCGATATATTTATTTATATATATATATATATGAATCTGTATGTATGTAAAAATGTAGAAGTATGTAGGTATAGCTGCTACATAAACCCTATTATTGGACCGCCCTGCCCCCCCCCCGGGCCCCCAAACAAAAAATATTATCATATAGGCACAACAACCAACGAAGCACGAACAAATCAATCATCCGATTGCAAAAAAAGCACGAACAAATCAATCGTCCGATTGCAAAAAAATCAATCATTTCATCGTCATCAAATCAATCAGCAGGAAATCCTTCATATCGAACACACGGTTGAAATTCTGCTACTTGAACGCTTTTACACGCAAAATCAACCAACGAACGCTTTTTTTCAATCCTAGGCTCACTGGGTCTCCTTCATGAGGAAGCGTATCGCGAGTGGCCCCTCCTTTACGAGCAGCCTTGGAGCAACCCCCGAAACTGATTAGACCTTCAATAAAGCCTGGGAAACCCTCTGAATCGACCTGTAGAACAACACATATTGTCGGGGCTGGGTAGATGTGAGTTCAGCAATGGCTGGCCCAAGAAGGCCTAGAGACGGGCGCTTAGGTTCAGGGCATCTTGCACCCTCCAGCCCTAATTAAGTGCTTCTCCCCCTCCCCCTGCACTATATACACTAAAACCGAACCCTTTAAACTCGCCAGTTGCATCAGCCAGCAGGTGTGAGGCGGTAGCGCACTGCGGGCCAAACGAGGACTACGATGCCCAGGCGGATGTGGGTCAAGTCCGGCTTTCTGGGGACTTCGCAGAATTCTAGGTCATGTGTATGGCAACGTGCACTTCTCTGTGTTTGATTGTGCTATACACACACATACATACATACATACATATATATATATATATCTGTATATATGTATACATACACCCATATCTGGCATACACATGTAGATGCACATGCTTTGATTATGCTTTGTACATTTAATTTGCTTTTACATCTTATATAGTATGTTGTGTGTGAGACAGCCGTTGCATCAAGCCATCCTTCACTCCATCCTCGAGCCTAGTGGTACCATGGAAGCAAGTGTGAGCCTCAAGTAGCTGGCATAAACTGCACCGTAACTGTCAAACTTTACTACAGCACGATACACCGCAACGCAGACTTGAATTGTCGGCCCTGAAGCCACTACCCACAAGCGCTAGAACAACGACGGGCCACCCCCTGCTTTGTCATTTGCTTTCTCATTTCTCGCGCACCTGAGCATTGCAAATCGGTCTTGCCATGCCGGTCGCCTTCAACTTGCCTTACAGAGGCCAACAGGTGCATCGCCGCCGGCGAGCTCACGAGCCGATCTCAGCATTATGGAGGGTGCTGATATGAGAGGATGTGGAAGCGGGGCTGCGAATGGAGAGCATCCCTGCAAACTAAACCCCCCCAAGCTATGCCGGCTATGAAGGCAGCTAAGCGTCGCAATGGTAGATCCCTAAACTCTTGACCTCAAAGCCTTGAGCCTCAACCCTTAAGCCCGACCACCCTAAACCCTGTACGAGGTCGACAAGGACTTATAGCATCAGTGCTGAGCCCCACAAGGCTTCGCCCGCAAACCCCAAAACCCTGACACCCTAAACATCCCTGAACCGTAAACCCGACGAGCTCTGGAGCCTACGAGCCCTAAACCGTGCGGTCCAACCTCACGAGCCCAAGCCCTAGAAAGAAGTCCCTCGCCGCTTTCTGCCCAGGGCAGTGACGGAGAGTCAAACCACGACAGGAGATACTCTGTGTTCTGCAATTTTTGGGTTCATAGAGGGGTCCGAACAAGTGATGAAAGTGGGGTATTGGGGTGTGCTACGTAGCGCCTTTTTGTACAGGCTGTATAAGAGGAATTGAAAATTATTAGTCATAGTCTAAGCCTCTATGAGCATCCTGCGATTCGTATTTTGCCATGCTGCACAGTCAGAAACAAGAAACACGGTCTAAGGCCTAAGGTAGCAACCAGAGCACTTCAAAGGCAGGGTGCAGGGTTCGGGTCAAAGTGCCCGTTTGCGAGGTTCTTCAGCACCTTAGTGCCTTCTTGATGTGGGGATTTCATAAAAACCCTCCCCCACGAAGAACACTAAATCCCAAACACTAAGTTAGAACACCCCAAATAGGCCCAAAACCCTAACCTAAACCTATCTTAACGGAACCCTCGAACCTTAAATCCGCAATTCAATAAAACGCTATAGCCCAAAAGCCGGCGGGTTTGGCCTGTACTCGAGATGGACTTTTTCGGTGCCGGTATACATATCGTACGAAACAATCTGTAAGCAAGACTATGAAATCCTTGAAAAAACATAACTGCGTCTACCAATCCCAGGAAAGGCCTTGAGCAAACAAACACCAAGCCTATAACACCCCCCCCCTACTTGGAGGTTCATGGGTAGTTATACATGAGGTTATAAGTAGGGCAACTGTACTTATAACCCATATTAGGGGACTTATAACTCCACTTATAACTCCCCATGAACCTCCAAGTAGCCTTTCATGTCAGGAGTCCTCTCCAGTGGCACCTCGACCACTTTGCCCTGCGAGTCGAAGCCTTGTGGTCGAGGGCTTTGGGGATCCAGGCTTTGTTGAGGGACGTGATATTAATATGGACTTTCGTGGGATCAGGCTAACCTGAACCTGGAAAGGGACTAAACCGAAACCTTGAACCTCCCCCTCAGTTTCTGTTGGGTCTGGGGTTTTGGAGCTCAGATGTTCAATGACTCAGGGTGGGAGGGCTGTGAAGTTTCGAATGGGAAGTAGTGCAGTACTGAAAGTGGTGGATGTGAGGGTTTAGGGCAGGAGGTCCTTGTCGTACGGCTTGACTCTTTTACAACGTGCATTGTTCGATGGTCGGTCTACGGCTTTAGGACCGAGGTTGAGTGCTACTGCACTGATGCTGCTGTTTCCAGTTCGGGGGCCGAGGGCTTCAGGAGTTTGGGTTCGAGAATGAGGGCGAAACGCCAAAAGTGCCACACTCTACTACTCTGCCTGGAGTCTCAGAGAAACTGCGTGTAAGCTCTTTGCAAAACCCAGTATAAATCTCCTCTTTCCCCTACTAGAAGCATCTCTGAAACCTCCCTGAAGCTCTATAAGTTCTTGTGATTTGATGTTTCCCAAACTGTTTTGTTTTCGCTGCCTTAAGCACACAGAAGCCCCTAACACAAACCCATGAGCCCTCCCCAGCACCGAAGCCTCGAGCCCTAGGCAAACCTAGCTAAGCCCTGAAGCGAAAGAGACCCTGAAACCCTCAGGAGCCCAGGACCAGAAGCCCCTTGAAATCCACAGCCCTAAGCCCTAAACCCTAAACCGTGGCTCTTACAAACTTCAGAAGCGGAAGACTCCACGACATCCCCCCCCGAACCCAGTAACTGTGACCCGACCGGAACTCCAAAGCCTCGCTAAGCCCCTCAAGAGCAGGCAGGTGGCTTGCTGCTTGCACGGGGCGCCGGATGCCTTGAACCCGGGACGCTGCGTCCGGGACCCCGGTCTTCACTTTTTTTGTGTTTAAAATGCTTGTTTGTTCAGCCTGTTTTGGTAGTTTTGAGGGAGCTTTGGGTTGATGGGGCGCAGGGCTTTTTAGGCTACGTTGTTTGTTTCTGTTTATTTGTTCTTGTTTTGTTGGAGATTGGGGGTCTTGAGGGGCTGGTCGGTTTTAGGGCTGAGGGCTTGAACGTTAGGGTTTGAGATTCAATGTTTTGTGGTTTGAGGCTTTGGGGTTTCGGGTTCGAACTGCATGCAGTGATGCAAAACCGCACTTATGCAACGTTTGCTCAAGATCCAGAGCCTTGATCTGCCTTCCGCAAACCTCGGAAAGAAAGAATCATTCCTTGACCAGAACCCTCAATTTCCAAAGCCCCCCCTTTGCAGAAGCCCATCGTTCGGCGATCTTTGCAAGCCGGGAGGTGTGTGAGGAAGGATGGCTGACCCTGGCCTCCGCTGAGGCATCGCTTGATTCAAGGTTTCAGGGTCTCCCTGCAGGCTCGGAAACATACTCGCGGGTTCCTTCTCATGACTTCTTCATCTACTGCCCTCAGAACATAGGTAACAAAGGTTTTTTTTGGGGCTCCAGGTCTTGATTTTGATCCTGTAACGGCCCTTCGGCCTCATGGCGGGACCCATAGGGCCCTGGCTTTGCCTCAGATGCAGTGCAGCACAGCAGTGTCGACCTCCTTTTCGGCTTCCACAGCCCCGGGTGAGGCGGGCCTGCAGGATTTGGGGCTTTCGCTAAGGTTTCTGCCGGCTTAAGGTTGAACACTTCGTGTTATTCGTTTTGGGGTGTACGGCTTCAGGGCAAGCGTTATGGTCCACGAGGAAGTTTAGGGTTTAGGGGCAGGGTGTACGGCCCGGCGTTTAGGGCCGTCGTTAAGTGGGGGTTGATGACGAACCAAGTTTAAACTCGCGTGGTCCAAGGGGAAGATGGCTCTTTGTCAATCATTTCAATCATTTCCAAGTCCCTACATAGCACACGGTACTGCAGGGGTCCGATATCGACTGTTCTGGTTTGCAAGTATACCTGTCTACCTCAAAGGAAATTGGATCCATTGGGTGCGAGTTCGGCATCAGCGAATTGTCGCGAGTCTTCAACTTCAAGACATCCAGCTTCTACTCGACCTGGCTACTCATGCATGCGAAAAGTATGGGTCGTATGTCTGTGTGTGTAAGTATGCTTGTATGCAATTATGCATGTGTCTACGTTGTATGACACTCTGTATATACTACTACATTTGCAGTCCTGTTGTATGTTTAGTTGCAGTTACAGTATTGTCATGCATAAGCAGATACACATCATGTACCCGCATATGTACGTCGCACATGCAAGCATGGTGCATGTATACATCCTTAGTTATATCTTTGCACACATGCATGCACTCGTTCTTATTTTGGGGGTTCCTTATTATAGATATGGTAGAATGGGCCCGGAAACCCTATTCGAATTACTAAGGCCCCTATACTACCTACCCAGAGGTGGCAGAGGACCCGCCTCCGGCCGATTTCATGAGCATGGCCTGGGGACCCTCGGCCGCATTCGACACCAGGCTAAGGGTACCGGGTTTAGGGCAGCAGAGATTGCTCCTTGAACTGCAGTAAGCTTGTCTTTTGTAGGTCCTCCCTAGAAACCGGAAGAACTTTGCAAAGGGGTAGGTTACGGTCCTTCAGGGTGGATGATTAGTGAGGGGAGTATGACCATGAGGAGTTTTGACATCCCGAAAGTGCCAAGCTAGGCAGCTGTTCCCTTTCTTGACGGTTTTGCTTCGGTGACTGCTGCTACTTTTGTCGTCGTGGTCGTCGTCATCGTCGTCGTCGTCGTCGCAGTTGTTGTTGTCGTCGTCATTGTCGTGCTTTGAGCTGTTGCTATCAACGTATAAACGGTATTCCCAGCCCCAATTAGCAGTATTGGCGGTGTTGGCGATGACTCGTTTCATCACTGAGTCAGTTTTCTTGGCTCAAGAACTATCACCACCTGCAACGGCACATGACTCTTGATGTTTTTAGGTTTAAGGTTTCAGGATCCTGGAACAACTGCAATAATTGTGCAGTTGTGCTCTCAAGGTGCCTGGGGCTTCATGATGAGCAACGGAGGGTGTCAGCCTCAGGGCGCAAGAGGCGCGACCGGTAACTCTGAAGCCTGGACCCCGGCAGTGTGCCAAAAGGCAGCCCCAAAACCCAGACGTCTTAGAGTAATCTTTGGTGCCGCACTCTTTCAAGACAGGGTTTTCTGCTTGTTATAACCTTACAACTCGAAGCTAGTACGGCAGATATGTCAGTCTGCCAGTATGCCACAGTGGGGGTTTGAATGTATCTGGGGGCCGAGCCGGAACGGGCTTGCTAGGTGTGTGTAGTGAATCACCAGGGGGTCCCACATGTCCCATCCGCAAACCAAGGTTGGTCCTTCTCGTCGCTGCTCGCGGCTAAGTAGTGCAGATTGGAGCAGCACTCGCAGGCAACAAGTGTACGGTAAGCAAACCTAATACCTTGAGCCCACGGCCCGAGCCTCTTCCGATCTTGAGGTGATAGTTCTTTGCTGCTGTTTCTGCTGCCTGTTGCGCACGAGACCCAGCTCTGAGATGCCATCCTGCCTGCGTACACTGGAGCTCCGCTAGCATAAACAGCTCCGAATTCCGAGGCAGTTGCTGTCGGAGGGGTAGCTGCTGCTGGTGCTGCTGTTGGGCCTAGCCGCCATGTTCATGTGTTTGAGTGTTACGAGTGTACCAGCAGTGCACCATGGGCAACAACAGCTTACGTTGCAATATTTGTTGGGTGCTTAGTCTAGCGTTGGGAAAGGGTGGATGGAAAAGGAGCCCCATGATATGGATCATCCTCCTTGTGCCAAAAGATGTGCATTATTCCCATGATCTTTGTCTGAGTCCATTCTCTGCAAGAGACGCTGGTTGCACGTACCCAGTTCAAAAGCGAACAAATTCATACCTTCCTTCTCTTGTAATTGCCAAACTGCGAATCTTTATAGGTTCCTGTCAGAAGTATTCTTCATGTGAGCTTGCGCTTCTGGGGCCTGCTAGTAAATTAAGTAGATACTCTTTTTTTCTCTCTCTCTCTCTCTATATATATATATATATATGCACATATAATCGTAAGTTCCCTCACCGAAGCGCTCTTCAGCGTAGCTTCCCAAGGTATCTAACGTATTTGCGAACGACTCTCTCGATAACCTTAAAGAGCCAGGTCCTGAAACAGCCGTTGACAGTTGACTGGATGCCAAAACCAGATAAGCCCCGAATCCCGAAGTCAGGTTTTGGAGTTTGTGGAGAGACGCTCGTATGAGACTCGAACCTGAGACCCGACATCCTAAAGCCAGGGTGGCCGCCAGAAGCCTATGTATGCTCCATATTGCTGGCCTCCTCAGGCGCAAGCCTCAAAGAAAAGGTTTGCTTACTTGCAAAGATTGCTGCAAGCAGTCTCAAGCAGAATCCAATGAACTGATCTAGAATTGAGGATGATCAGTGCAGGGATTGCCTATACTTTACCTTAAGTGCATGAGGATAGTTCTGGCTTCTACTGTAGCCCAAAAAGCCTAATACCCTGCTGTGAAGGAATTACCTTCGATAGCAGTGTTGTTTGCGTGTGGCGTGAAGATTGGCTAGCTGAAAGCCTGCTCTCAACCTTTAAACCCTGAAACCGAAACCACAAAGAATACTGGCTTAATGTTCAGGGATTGGAAAGCCAATGGGCTTGGACTAGGATTGGTTCCAGGTTGATGTAGTTTCATGGTCGAATCTTTCTTTGGGTTTCTTTAGGCTGTAGAGCCCCTATGGCCAAGGCTGCGATGTCGAAACAAATCCTGCATGACCTATCTGACGGCGCTTTCGAAGACACCTTCTCGGTCTCCCCTCACCCCGGTTTCGATGTTTTCAGGCCGTCGGGTTCTCGGACCTATCGCGTTTTCGGTTCGTTAGGGCTCGATCAATAATAAGATCCGGGGCTGCGGGGCAAGAAACCTTTCACGAGGAGAAATCGATGCACGATTTTCCCTAGCAACAGTAATCACTGTCGAAAAGCTGGAAACTCAATGTCCTCAATCTGTTTGAGAATGAATCCCTAATGGACCAATCTCTCAATGTGGATGTATGTGCATATATTTGTGCAGCTACATATATACTTATATATATATATATATGTACACACATGTATATCTATATATATATATA